TTTCTTATACTTTTCTAAGATATCTAAGAACTTTTCTTCTTCTCTTTTAAATCTAAACCTCTCTTTATTATTATAGTCTTTAATAAGCTCCTCTTAGTTATAGATATATTTAAGATTATTTTAACTATAGCTACTAATAGTAATCTCCTTAAACTTAATTCCCTTTTTAATAATATATACTTTTTATTTTAATATTAAAGATTATTATCTAAATACTTTATTCTACTTTTATAGGCTTTTATATTTATATTTATAATATCCCTTTGTCCTATAGTTATAGTATATAATATTAGACTTATTATAAGGCTATTTATTTAGCTATTAAATCTAGGTTAAGTACTATAGGATATATTCCTATATTACTTCTTCCCTTTATTAATATAATTTCCTTTAATAAATAGCTTTTAATACCCTTTCTTTTATTATTTCTTAATATAGAGGTAATTATTAATATAGATAGCTTTAATGATATACTTGTCTAAGGTCTTTAAATAGTCCTCCTTATAAAGCTTATCTTTTATATCCTCCTTTAAACTATTATAGAATAGAGATATTAGTCTATCTTTATTAATTTTAGCTTTAAAAGTATCTTACTAGAATAAGATAGTATAGGTTAAAGTAGATTTACTCTAATAGAGTCTAACTAACTAATCCTAGATATAGACCTTTTTATCTTTATCTTTAAATACCTTTATAAGCTCTTCCTTAAAGTAAGTATAGTCTTGAAAAACCCTTTAGATAAACTTATACTACTTCTTTAAAATCTTTTTAATATAGTCCTATAAGATAGGCTTAAACTATTAAATAGGTTAGTCTATTAGATAAGAGACTATATAATAGGTCTTAATATATTTTAAGTAGAAGTAGTCCTTATAGTACTTAATATAGGAGGCTATTTTTATAAGGAACCTTAAAAGGTTCTCCTTCTTACCTTTATATTTGATAAAGGCTTTAAGTTTAATCTTAGATTTCTCGAAACCTTTAACTTAGATAGTATTTTTATTAATAATCTACTACTAGATCTTATTCTTATCCTTAAGGGCTTCAATCTATATATATAGACCTATAAAGATATTATTAACCTCCTTTATATTAGTAAGGATAGGATATAATATTAAAGTACTTCCTAAAGCTATATTAGTATTAGACTTAAAGCTTATAGTATTAGAATATCTTTATCTAAACTATAATAGAAATAAAGGGAGTAAGTAATATATAATAGATTGTCTTTTAACTATACTTTAAAAGGGTTTACTAAAGGTATTAATAAAGGTTATAATCTAATAAAGCTAAAAGGTTTATAATAAGATAATGATCTAGTTTCAATGTTTCCTTAGTCTAAGTAATTATAGTAATTAAGTTATATTACTTACTAGAGAACTCCTAGAGTCCTCTAGAATAAATGACTATATACTATCTACTAATAGGTGCTTGTTTAGCTTAGGTCATCTATAAGTGAGCATCTTAAGTATCCTGCTTAGAGTGCTTATAGGCCTTGGCGTTAAGCATCTCGAGCATCTCGCCTCGAGTGCTTATAGGCCTTGGCATTAAGTATCTTGGGTATCCTGCTTAGAGTGCTTATAGGCCTTAGCGTTGAGCATAATGATGATTATGCTTATCTGCCTTAGCGTAGCCCCTAACGATCACCTTGCCCTATGCCTACTGTTGATTGGTTCCTGCTATATATCGTTTCCCATTATAGGGCCCCTATTAGTTAAATCCGTGACAAAAGGCTAGCTTTAGCAGCTCTCTAAAGCTTTTAAGCCTCAGTGGCGCTCTACTTCTTTTTCTTACCCTTTAACATCGTAGAGTCACTTACAATCTCCTTGTAAATTAACTCTATATTAATGGTTATCTTCCTCCTCTTACTAAACAAGGTACTGAGGCCTTCTATATAACTGTCTACCATCTTCTAATCGATCTCTAGATCCTTAAATCGTTTCTTTAGGCTGTACTGACGGCTTTTTTCGATAGATATATCGATGATCGTTTCTTCGTAGGTATACGTCTCTCCTAGAAACTTATCTTATAGGAGAGTGTTGAGTCGGGGCTGAAGGTTGATAGTCTAAAAATCGCTAGGAGCTAGGACGAGGTCGGGATCTATATCTGAACAAACATACCTAGCTCTGATATTCTTACATTACGAGACTTTCTACCGAAAGTTATAGTAGATATATTTAAGGTTATTCTTATTATACTATTTATTACTTTCCTAATTACTTAGTTGGAGAAGTAGTAATATATATTCGTTACTTAGCTAATTAGCCTATTTAGCTACTAGGCCAGCTTGTTTAATGGCTACGCCGGCTCTAGAACTGTCGGAAGTCAGAAATTCGGGAGTTCTATAATTCAAAACAAAATCGCTGTCCTGCCAGTTAAAATTCGAGTCTCTATAACGGTATACCTTCCCAAGTCGAAAAAGTTACGGTAAGATCGTTGCCATATATTTGCCTTACTTATCGCTAGGGACGATAATAACTTAGTTACCCTATAGAGCTTCTATAGGCTTTTAGCGGCTTCTATTTAGTTATTCGGTTCGCTAATTTTAGAGCCTGCTAAACCTAATCGGGCTCTAGAAGCCATCTCGTTACTATAGTATATACTATACTAACCTTACCGCTATAGCTTTATTAAGGGGCAAGTCTATATTACCTTAGCTTGGGTAAGACAGATCAGGACTGGGATTGATTATTATAATATAGGACTGATCAATTAAGAGTTTTTCAGTAAGAACGCTATATCTACCTATAGACTATCTCCGGCACTAGCTGTTATAGCCTAGCGACTGATATACTAGCTAACTATTAGAAATAGTATTAACTAAGACCTATATTTAATGGTCATTTTCTGACTACCAAATATAGGGCTATATGGTTATATCTGATTTATCGAGGAGATTTAGAGCAGGATAAGACAGTATAGAGAGCACTAGGCGAGGTAAGGATAGCTATATATTAGAGCCTATATATAAGGATAGGCTGTATACGCTGCTGCTGTCGAGGGCAAGTAGGTAGAGTATACCAGTAGGTATATTTATCTAGATAGGGTAGGCTAGATCGGTAGAGGAGACAACAACGTCTAGGGCTAATAGACAGAGGTAAGGAATCTTAAAGATCCCTTAGCCTATAAGGCTAGAAGAGGTACTATAGATAGATATAGCTAAATGGTTTAGTAGTAGCTAAAACTACCATCCCTATAAATAGATTATCTTTTTACTAACCGTTTAAATATATAATTTAGTATATAACCTCTATATTAATTTATCTCTACTTATCTTTCCTTAAGGGATAGTTTTAAGTTCTGTTACAAGCGTTCTACCTACTAGCCCTAGACGCTGTCCTCTCCTCTACCGATCTAGCCTGCTCTATCTAATAAATATACCTACCGGTATACTCCGCCTGCTTACTATTGACGGCAGCGGCGTATATAGCCTATCTTCGCTTATGATCCTCTATAGGCTTATAGCCGCTGTTAACTCCAACGCCCTACTAAGGCCCTATAACTACTTCGATATAATTGGCAGTACTAGTACTAGTAGCCTGATTGCTATTATACTAGGCTACCTATATATAACCGTCGACAAGTATATCAATACCTATACTACGCTGTCCGATAAGGTCTTCGAGAAAAAGAGCCACTATGTAAATATTAAAGGTAAGCTCTAGGGGTAGTTTGACAGTACTGAGTTAGAGCATATAGTTAAGACTATTATAGTTAATTATAGCCTTACTGAGGATATATTGCTTAAGGACCCTGATTCTACTTATAAAGTATAAATAACCTTATCCTAGGCCTTTAATAGCTTATATTAACTTCTGCCAGCTTTATCTATACTATAAGTAAACAGACTAGGGATACTGTCTGCTTAGCTAACTATGACGAATCGTATTAACCACGCTCTAAAAGGGTTCATTGAAGGTATGTTATAAGGGTTGTGATCTAGTATAGCCAAAAGGTATATAATAAGATAATGATCTAGTCTCAATATCTATAGTAATTAGTAGCGAACAAGTTATATTGCTTACTAAGGAAGTCCTAGACTCCCTTAACGAATGACTAGCTAGTTATCTATATACTTGATAATTCCTTTATCCTAAAGTTCCTTTATACCTAGATCTTATAGCTCTTACTAAGATCTTATTGAGCTTTATTAGCTTTTAGCCTTCCTTTATCGATCCTAGTATTAGCTCTTATACATCTTAAAGAGATCCTATTAAGCCTCCCTTAATTAGTTATATAAATGATTAGTTAGTAGTATATCCTATATCCTACCTATATATATTATAGGCTACCTTCTATAGTTTAGCTTATAATATAATACCCCTCTTTAAGCTCTTTTAACCTAAAAGAGCCTAGGTCCTTATTTTAAATATTACTTATAGCCTATATTTATAAATATAGCCCCTTTTCCCTTCTATATTATCTAACTACTAATATAATATTAAATTATATAAGGAAATTAAAATTGAGAGTTCCCTATTTTAAAACTATATAATATAATATACTTCTAGAGACCTTTACCCATTTACCTTTTATAATAAAGAATATCTATTTATACTATAAAAAATATAGATATATTAAATATAAGGTCTTATCTAATAGCTTTAGATATTATACCTTCTATATCTAAAATAATTAATTTAACTATAATATCTAAGGTTTATCTCCTTAGTAACTTTAATAAATTACTACTTAGTATAATTCTTTAGAGGCTAAGATAAAGGAGGTTAAAGTAGAATATATTACCTTAGATAGTAAGATTATCTATCTATATAAATAGAAGAGGATATAGTTTAAAAAGATAGTATATATCGTTTTATAGGGTATTAACTTAATAAAGGAGCTAGAATAGTTAAAGTAGAAGGAGATAGAGGTATCTATTATATTAGAGACCTCTTATATTAGCTCTTTATATATCTTAACTATTCCTTCTTTAATAACTATCTTTAACCTTTCCCTCTTTAAATAAATATCCCTTTCCTTATTTTAATAAATAAAATAGTTATATAGTATAGTAGTAGTATATATATACTTTATAGATTTTTATATTTATTCCCTAGATATAGTAATCTATCTATATAAGGTTATAGGTTTAATTCCTACTATAACTATATATATATTGTTTTTTTTTTTTTTTTACTAACTATCTTAGTTCCTTATTAATTTCCTTTAATAATAGTAGTTTTAACTAGTCTTCTTTAGTTATATAGGGTAATTAAGATATTAATAGTAGAAATCCTATAGCTTCTTTAGATAATTAATCAAATTTTCTACTAATTACTATAAGTTATCTTTAGGTCTAAAGTTTAACTATTTAACCAAATATTTAAGTTACCCCTTTATAATCCTTAAGTTAAGGATTTCCTCTATATTCTATTTTTCTTCTTTATCCTCTACTTTAGTACCTTTATTAAACCTTAAGTTTTTTAATATAGGTTCTAGTAGTATAATATAAAAAACGTTTGTTTATAACTTTATAGTTAATAGTAAGGTAAGGGTATAATTATTCTTTAAAATCTTCTTATCAATTTTAAATTGTCTAATTTTCCTAAAATCCAATTTCCTATTAGATCGTTTAGTTTTAAGATTTTATAAACTAAAGTAGACCTTATCCCCCTTCTTTAGGTAAAGTCCTTTAAGCCTTTTTTAATTATAGAACTTCTTTATCTTAGCCCTTATAAACTTAAGCTCTTCTTTAAGTATTATATAGAATAAGCTTATCTTATCTACTTTAATAATAGCCTAAGATACTTTAATATTAAGTCCTTATTAGAGGTCTAGTTTATAATTGAAATTTATAAAATATAGTATAACTTTTATTATTTCTATTTTAGTAATATTATAGGTAAGTTATATAATAGGTAGTAGTTTAACCTAGTTATCTTATTAGAAATTAATATAGAGTTAAAGGTGCTATTTAACTATCTAGTTAAGTTATTCTATTTATCTATCTATTTATATATAATATACTATTAAAAGCTTACTTTTTATATTAAGTCTTATTATTAAAGCTTATTAAAATTTTAAGGTAAACTTAGTATCTTAATCTATTATTTACTTCTTTAGCTATATATAAATTAAAGTAATATATTAATAGAGAGTATCTATAAGTTATTCTATTATCTAGGTTTCTTTATAAAGTAGGAAGTAAGTCTATTTAATAAGCCTATCTACTATAATAAGAATACTATTATATATTACCTATATTATAGTATCCCTAGATTCTAGTAACTTAGTAATAAAGTCTATAATAATTAAACTCTATAGTTATTTAATAATAGATAAGGGTTATAGTAGCCTATAGGGTTTATATTATCCTAGTTTACTCTATTTATAGAGATTATACTTATTAATAACCTCTTTAACCTTCTCTTTAAGGTATAGGAAGTTATAATATTACTTAAGTTTAATAGCTATTTTTATAATTCCTATATATCCTTTAAGTTTTAATTAGTAGACTTTAAATATAAGGTCCTTTTAGTCCTAGGTCTTAATATAGGCCTTATTATAATACTAGAGTCTTATCCTATCTAGTTATAGGCTAGAGATACTTATCTCTAGGTCTACTTCCTAGTTAGCCTATTCTCTACTAGTAACAATTCCCTAAAAATCCTATTCTTTTCTTTCTTCTCTAAAAACTATATAATATTCTATAAATAGCTATAAAGGTACTTCTTCTTCCTTTATCTATCGATAAATAGCTATAATCTTATAGTCTTTAACTAGTTATAAAGTATAGTAAAGGGTACTATCTATCTATTACTATAGTAGTACTAGTAAGTTTTCTAGTATATTACCTTAGTAATCAATCCTCCTATTTAAGGTATTTACTTATATATTTTCTATACCCTTCTTATAGTTAATTATAAAGTTAAACTCTAATAAGAACTCTACTTATCTAGTTTATTATCTATTTAAGACTTTAGTTATTATAAAGTACTTAAGGTTTTTATAGTTAATATAGACCTATACTAGATAGGTAGTTTTATTAAGGTAGGATCTCTACTTCTAAAATACTTTAATAATAGTAAGTAGCTCTTTATTATAAATAGGGTAGTTAAAATAAAGCCTATCTAGCTTCTTTAAAAAGAATACTATTAGATATAACTTCTTATTTTTATCCCTTTATCTAAGTTATCCTCTAATTATAAAGTTTAATTTATTAGCTTCTACCTTAAAGGATAGGCTAGAGTCTAGTAATAAAAGTACTAGGTCTACTAAGATACTCTATTAGATCCTCTAGAATATCTACTTCTAGTTATCTCCCTACTTAAACTCTACTCCTTTTTTAATAAGTTTATATAATAGTTATATAATATTACTAAATTTTAGAATAAATATCTAAATAAAGTTTATAAATCTAATAAATCTTTGAACCTTAGTAGTATTAATAGATATTAGCTACTCTATAATTACCTGGATTTTCTAGGGTTTGATTTTAACTTTCCCTAGTAAGATTTTATACCCTAAGAAAACTATTTTCTAGATATAAAATTTACTCTTTTCCTTATTGACCAATATCTAATACTAGTATAGTATATTAAGCACTTATTATATATATTATTAATATTCTTAAATATCTTAAAGTAGATAAGGATATTATTTAAGTAGTATATTATAAACTTATTAAAATAGAGTTAAATAATATAGTTAATTATAGCTTAGAATATTATTAATATATTAATAAGCTTAAATAATATTACTAGATATTTAAAATATCTATAGGGTATTTTAAAAGCTATCTTCTACTTATCCTCCTTTTTAATATAAATATAAATATATACTATTAGTAGGTTAAGATAGATAAAGTATTATACTCTAGCTAACTAGTCTTAAAGCCTTAAGATTAATAGTAAAGGGTATTAGTTCTTAATTATCTTACTATTTAGCTATTAATAGTCTATATATATCTTAAGTTTTCTATCCTTCTTTAGAATAAATAATACTAGATATCTAGTAGATAAGGTTAATAGCTAGATATATCTAATCTTTAGATTATTATCTAAGTACTTCTTTAACTTAGTATTTTATTTCTTATTAATATAGTAGACCTTAAAGAACTTTAGCTATATCCCTTCTTTAAGTTTGATCTTATAGTCCTAAAGTCTATATTCTAAGAGCCTCTTTAGATATTTAGCCTAAAATGTTAGATATCCTTTATACTCTTAGGGAACCTTACCTATTATAATAGTCTTTATAGTTCCTCTATAATAGATAAACTTATTATTCCCTAATTTAATACTTATAACTTTAAGTTTATTGATCCTTTCTCCTTTATACTTAATATTTACTACCTTAACTAAGCTAATCTATTATTTAATTATAAGCTTCCCTTTTTTATTAACTAAGATAATAGTAACTTTTTAGTTAGTTTATATCTTCTTCTATTATTATAGACTATATTTCCTAGAATCTAGAGCTTATTATTTTCTACTAACTACTTCTTATAATAGGCCTATAGGGATTATATTTTCTTATACTTTACCCTATTATAGCTTCTATTCTATACTTCCTATTATATTAGTTAAGTACTTCTATAGTTTATATAATTATAGATAGCTACTATCCTTTTAACTAATATCTAGGTTATAATCCTTATATTAGGGTAATTCTAAAATTATATCCTTAGTAATTCCTATATCTATAATGTTAAATACTACCTTTATAGTTTTCCCTTCTACCTTAATATTAAGAGGTTTAGTTTCTCTTCTAACTATCTAGATTAAGAATAGTCCTTATATTAGATAAGGTTCCTTTTTTATCCTTTAAAGGATCCTATACTTATTAACTAGGATAGGGCTAATAAAGTCTATTTATAACCTACTATCTACTAATATTAGGGTTTATAAGTACTTTTACCTAATAGTAACCTAAAGTTAGTTATCCTAACTCTAGTCTTATACTATAGCTATCTCTTCTAGGCTAGCTAAAAGGTTATTATAAGGTCTTTATTTATACTAGTTCTACCTATACTATATAACCTATTATTTTATTTCTAAGCTTAGTAGTTAATAGGCCCTTTAAAGGGCCTAAAGTTATTTCCTAAGTCCTTTTAATAGTATAAGATATCTTTATTTACCCTCTAACTTATAGTATTGATAGTATAATACTCCTTTAACCACTTAACTACCTATTATATAGGCTATTCTTATATTATAAGCTGTTTATTAATTCTTTAGAGTCTTCTAGTCTTATATTAGTTCTAATCTAATTCTTCTTATTAAATTTTAGTATACTTTAGGAGTTATTATTATTTATAGGCTTTATCCTAGACCTACCTTTATAGGCTAATAACTATATTCTTTAGTCTTCCAATTATTAGTTAGAGATCGTTAATCTTATTATAGGACTTAAGTACCTTCTTTCTAAGGTACTAGAGGTTAAATCTAGGTTCTTCTCCCTTCTAGATAATATATTACTAGCCCTAGGGGTTTTAGGTAAGTATCTATCCCCTATATTTAGAGGTATTAGTTCTTTTAAAGTAGGGTATTATCTATTTAAGCTTATTAGCTTAAAGGCGTTTATTATTATTATTAATAAGTACTATAGGTCTTTCTATATATTTTTCTAAAACGTCTAAAAATTCTACTTCTTCCCTCTTCAACCTAAATCTCTCTTTATTATTATAGTCCCTTATAAGTTCCTCCCTATTATAGGTATAATCGAGATTATCTTAGTTATAACTATTAATAGTAACCTCTTTAAATTTAACTCCTCTTTTAATAATAGTAGCTTTATATCCTAGTACTAGAGACTATTAGTTTAATATTCTACCCTTCCTTTATAGGCTTTTATATTTATATTTATAGTAGCCTTTCTTCCTATAGTTATAGTAGATAATACTAGACTTATTATAGGGTTATTTATTAGGCTACTAAGTCTAGATTATATTGATCTTTATTAGTCCTAGCTAAATACTATAGGCTATACTTTTATACTACTTCTTTCCTTTATTAATATAGTTTCCTCTAATAATTAACCTCTATTATCCCTTCTTTTATTACTTTTAGATATAAAGATAGTTATTAATATAGATAGCTTTAATAATATACTTATTAAAAGCTAAAGGATAGTCTTCTTTATATAGCTTATCCTTAATATCTTCCTTTAA